ATAACATACACAAAAAATGCATTTATCCTTATGCACCAAAAACGCATTGGATATTTTGTAGCTAGTGAGTTAGACGAAACATGACTTCAATGATGCACTAGATAAAAATTGTATGTCAAACTTGTAAAATAGAGAGCATGACTTACATATATTGGTATGTAGATAGTTGGATAAAGCATGAGTCTTCATTGCCTACATTTAAACCCGAAGAGAAAAAAAACTTACTATCACAATCATATAATGTTTTTGATTAAAATAAATTTGCAACTAGTAGAGATTTCACATACCCCTTTAAAATTTTATCAGCAGGCCATGCCACATTACTTGAAATTGCTTCTTTAATGGTACTCATCTCACTCGTTGGCCTCCACAAGAAAGTGTCCGGGTGTTTTGCTACATCCACCCACACTCTCACTGCATTCGGTCCAAGAGGTACATAGTGAACGAGGTCTTTCGGGTCGCTTGGCGTCAAACGCCCTTCAGCAACAACTTCTCCAGTTCCAACCCAGTCTAATAGCTTACACTTGTTGGTAAGTTTGGGTAAATTAGTACTCACACTCTGCCAATAATACAATGAACATAAGCAATTACAAATAAACAAGCTTTAGTATATGGCAAACTTGATTTCATCCCGTTTAAAAACTTGAATGCTTAGCAATTGACTTTGATTGCTTATCACTGGTGAATGCACGTTTGCATTAGATTGATCCTCACTTCTGATGCCACTTACTTGACTTTTCAGCAATAGAGAGATTATCTCTTGCAATTCTTTGACATCCGCTTTTGTTTTGTTGCATTTATCTTGTAAAGCCTGCAAGTTATCATCCCGTTCTGACAAAATAGAATGTTTTGTCTTAGGCATCCCAAGGCCCAGTGCTCTCATGCGGCCATTCCGGTCAGGACCAAAGTAAGAAGCTAGAGCATCATCTAGCAAGTCACTACGATCAGAAGTGGGTATCTCATTTTGTATTTGTTCCAAATTTTCCTATCCCAACAATGAGCAAAAGCATAGAAGCATAAGCACAACAATATAGATATTGATATACAACATTACGAGAAGTTAAAGTTTTTCTTACAATGACGTCACCAACTGCTGAATTGACAGGTTCACCACTTTTTTTCTTATGTGCCTTTGTCCAAATTGCTACTCTATTTAATTGAGACTTGCTCAAACTACTTGCATTCTACAAGGAGAAATCTCAGGTTCACAACATTCTTTAAAATTTTGTGAAATAAAAAGGATAATTACGAATGTACCATGTCTTCAATTAAGCGAGCATATCCTTTGCGGCTAGTTGTATGTGGAAGTAGTTTCTTCCTGATGTTTTGATACTTTTGACTCATTTCCTAGTAAAAAAAATTAAAGAAAGCACCATATGCATAAACATAGAGTACATGAATGAGAGATTCCAATAGGTTTTGAAGTTATTTATACCTGAAAAGCTGGACTTGTTTTCTCCCTTACAAAAGCTTTCCATTCTACCACTGATTTGATGTTATCAGGCTTCAATTTTAGTCTTTCTTCTTCATTTTTGGCTTTCTTAACTTGGTTTACTAATCTTGATTTTGAGGCCCTCCAAATTGCACCCATGTTCCTAAATATTTGATGCTTCTGCCATTGTTTATCCACTTTATATCTTGCCTACAATCCAACAAATATCGACTCTTTGCTAAGATATATAGCAATTTTTTGTTAGTATAAGATATATAGTATAATATAGTATAAGATAAGCATACCCGGATAGCTTTCCAAAGCACTTCTTTCATCCCTGGTTGTAACTTTCTCCAATCCGGAAGTGTTACGGGAACAATCTCCCGTACAAGTGGCCCTAGAAAGGAAGACAAGCTAACTGATCCCCTACCTATTGGTTGTCCCATTGCGTTGAAACTCACTGAAATTGGACCGCTGTCATCTAAGGCAATTCTTTTCATCTTTGTCTTCCCTCTCTTTGCATTTGGATTTTTAGACTTTCCTATAGATTTTGTTGTTGTCTCCTCAGGTTCTGGTGCAGGAGAAGCTTCAACTCCTTGCAGTCTGCGAGACCTCCGAATAGGTGTCTCCTCAAGTTCTGGTTCACCTTCACTTGTATTTGGAGGAGAAGCTTCAACTCCTTGCTGTCTAAGAGACCTCCTAGAAGGTGCAGTGGGTGAGGTTATTAGTGATTGAAATGCTTCATTCCTATCAACCGGGTCACCTATGTGTGTTTCTTCAAAATGAGGAGAAGCTTCTCTAATAAGCAGCTTTCGAGCAACACTTCTAGTATTCCTTGCTGGTGAGTCTAATCTTGGATGCTTGGCCTTTGACGGTGTACCTACATAAACACCAGAACCCTTTCGAATCCCTTCCAAAATTGCCTTCAATCTTCCAGGTTGGATGTATGTTTCTTCCATTCCAAATCCTTTCTTGCATAACTGCCTCTTCCTATTAGTAGACATTCTTATGACTTCCTGCAATAAAACACAGAAGCGTAAGCATAGCAACATTGGAATTACTTGTTTTATAACTAAAAGAGCAAGGATTATTATTGAAGAAAGAGATGTACCTTAGCCTATAGTATTAATATTGACTAAAGAAAAGTAGACTATGTAACGTCACAACATTGAAGCCCAAGAGATGTACATAAGTGAGTCAAATTAATTTTCATTAAAGACAAAGGTATAAGCACATACAAAAAGGCACTAAACAAAAATCAAACTAATATCCCTTCACAATCTCCTATCACGTAGGAAATGTCATCATTTTCATTGTCCTCATTCACTTGACTAGTTATAAGTATGAAAGGCACCGAAGTGTCTTCATTCGAATCACATAATTCCAGGCCGTAGAAACCTCTTGTTGGTGCGTTTATCACAACATACCAATCTGAATCATCGGTATCTCTAGAATAAAAAACAAGCTTCACTTGTGAGGCTAAGATAAAAGGATCTTTTCTAAATTCATGTTAACCATGGTGTAAATTAACAAGTTTAAACCTATCTTCATCCCTAATACCTCTATTAACACTAGCCCAATCACACTTAAAAAGTGGCAGTTGGAAATCATAATAATCTATTAAGATTATCTCTCTCAACACCCCATAAAAAGCAACTACATCAACCACTTGCGATTGGTCTTTTGCACTTGATCTGCACATAGTTGTGGCTTCCAAAGAAACACCGTAGTTTTGGCTTCCAAGGAAACACCGTAGTTTTGGGTGGCCATGTCAACATCCTTAATGTGGAACCGTTTCCCATTGATTGTGTAACCAGTGTATGACATGGCATGGTTTCTCGGACCATAAGCGAGGCACTTCAAAATGTTAGATTTATTACAATCCATGGGAATCTGTAAAAGGTAAACCAAAATAATTACTAAATTCATCCGGCCCTATAATATGTAAATCTAAGATAGGTGAGTCTAATATAATACCTTATCTTTTAACCAACTAGCATATGTGTCTACATGCCTCTTCCAGAGCAAACTTTCATTTTTTTCAAGAGATTTACTTGATTGTTTTAGATACTCTAAATGCATCCTATTTTAAACCAAAAATGGTCCATCAGCAATAAGACGTCCAATAAGATATCACGACATAGAACATTTAATTAAGAACATACTTACTTCACGTACAGTTCAACAACCGCTGAGTTAAATAACACATAGTGGTGAGCTATTTCTAACATCTCATTACTGAACATGTATGGGTTGCCAACCAAAAGTGGACGCCCTTCAAGAATTATGTCATTAGAAAATTCTTCATTTCGACATCCACGGTGATAAATATCAACTTTTTACTTTATGAAATCGTTGCAAAATGCCATGCACTCATTTGCAAGATAACACTCTACAATACAACCTTCCGATCGAGCACGATTCCGAACATATCCCTTAAGAGTCATCATGTACCTACGTCAGTACATATCAATAAGCAATCTTAGTGTAGTAACAAAATTGTAATAAACTCAATATAACAAGTTCATATACATTATATCAATCTACCAAGTGGTGGAATTACATTTCAAAAGGATACATCCAACGAAATTGAACAGGTCCACAGAGTCTAGCTTCCCTTCCCAAATGAATTACTAAATGTACCATTATATCAAAGAATGATGGTGGGAAAAATCTCTCCAACAAGCATAACGTTTCTATGACTTCTTCTTCAATTTCTATCATCTTCTCTCCATCGATGACACGCTGGCATAGCCTATTAAAGAAAAGACACAAACTAAGTAGCGCATTTCTGGAAGCTTTTGGCAACAACCCTCTCAAGGCTACTGGTAGTAACTGTTGCATGAGTATATGGCAATCATGAGACTTCAAGCCCATGATTTTGCAGTCGTCCACCAAAACACACTTTCCAATGTTAGAACTAAACCCATCGGGGACCTTTAAATTATATAATCTTCTACAGAAGGTCTGCTTTTCTGCTTTTGACAGTGTATGTAGAGCTAGTGGCAGATATGTTCTTTTCCCTCACTCTTGGGGGTGCAAGTCAGGCCTAATTCCCATGTGTTGTAAATCTTTTCGTGAATTAAGACCATCTTTAGATTTTTTATTGACATGCAACAACGTATTTAAAATGTTTTCGCACACATTTTTCTCTATGTGCATCACATCCAAGTTGTGTCGCAAAGCCAAATCCTGTAAAAGGTAACTTCAATCAAATCAGACATTATTACATCCGTCAATAATTAGCTTCAAAAGTCAGAAGGAGGCTAGTAAGTAAGTAGTAATTACCTGCCAATAAGGTAGGTAAAAAAAAGTGATCTTTTCTTCCATAGTTGTTGCTTCTCCATATCCACATCCCTCACCTCTACTCTCTTGTGTTTATGACGGACTTTCTTAACAACTTTTTTACCTCCTCTCCCATGCGCTTTCATAACTTCATTCTCAAAAATATCCATATTAACTTTCCCCCAGTCATTCACAAAGTCCTTAAGTTGTTCATACATTCTTCTACCGGTCATTATTCTTGGTTTACTTTCTTTTTCTACCTTTCCATCGAACCAACACTTTTTCATTCGGAAGGGATGACTTGGTGATAGAAATCTCCTATGACAAACTTCCTACTAAAGGGCAACCACATTACTTGAGTATTGTCAACACATAACGGACACACTAATCTACCTTTTGTATAGCAACCACTAAGATTTCCATAGGCTGGAAAATCATTTATTGTCCACATTAAAATTGCCCTTAAATTGAAAACCTCCTTGTCAAATGAATCAAAAACGCTGACTCCATTGTTCCCCAACTCTTGTAAATCTTCTATGAGAGGTTGTAGGTAAATGTCAATATCATTGCCAGGTTGTTTAGACCCTGGGATTAATAACGTTAGCATGATGTTTTCCTTTTTCATGCATAAAAATGGTGGCAAGTTGTATATCACAAGCATCATTGGCCAACAACTATAAGTTGAGCTTAAATTACCAAACAGATTGAATCCATCTATGGACAATCCAAGTCTAAGATTGCGTGGTTCATTTGCAAACGTAGGCCACTTCTCATTCACTAGTTGCCATGCTGGAGAGTCAACCGGGTGATGCATTTTTCCATCATCCCTTTTATTATTGGAATGCCACCTTAGATGATGAGCCATCTTTTCACTCTTGAACATAGCCTTGACCCTAGGAATTATCGGAAGATATCTCAAGACTTTAGCAGGAACACCAACTTTAGCTTTTTTGGTATGTTTGTCAACCTTCCACCTTGAAGCATGACACCTTGGACATTTATCAAGATCTGCCTTATCCTTTCTAAACAAACAACAATCGTTAGGGCAAGCATGAATCTTTTCATACCCTAGATGAAATTCTCTCATAAACTTTCGTACTTTATACGTCGACCTTATCAACATATTAGGTTCAGGTAACATGTCATGCAATAACTCTAGCAATCCGTCAAAACTACAATCAGACCATCCATTCATGGTCTTATGTTTGAATAAGGCAACAACGGCAGACAACTTGTTGTATTTTGAACAACCGGGATATAATGGTTCTAACCAATCATTCATTTTTTCATTTAACTCCTCTAACCTATGTTCTTGCGATTGTTCTATATAATCACTCTCATCGCCATAGGCAGCCTTGTATAACTTATATATGTCATTCCTGTCAATGTTTTCCAACTCTTCATTTGTGTTTACTTCTTCCCCATGATGAAACCAAGTAGCGTATGTTGGATCCATACCATTGATTACCAAGTGTTTATAAACAATGTTACCACGTTGATGACTTAAGTTTCGACATTCTTTGCAAGGGCACAACAGCTTCTCTGGATAACCAAAATTCTTTTCAACTGTTTTTACAAATTTCTGAGCGCTTTGCTATACTTCTCAGTAAGTCTATAAATAAAAAGGTGAACACTAAGATTTCTATAACTACAATGACTAAGACAAACAAGAAAGCTAAATTCCAATCTTGCTCACCTGTTATCACGCACCTAATCTTTATCAAGCATCCTAACATCATCAATCGACTTCATAATTAACATAATGCTAAATAAATTATCACATTTCAGACTAAGAAATAAAATTTAGTCTAACATCATTATAATAACAGAGCAAACAAAAAAAGATAACACACTTAATACATATATCTTTTTCATCACCATACCAAAGAATATCTCATTTTTCTATAGAACATTGGTAAACAAATAATGGAACAAGACTTGTGAAATCCAAAAGGCTCTAATCCTGAGGATTTCTTCCTGTGAGATGGACTTGTTAAAATCGATTGATGCGCAGACAGAGAGAGGATTTCTTCCCGTGAGATTCTTCCCGGCCGTGAGGATTTCTTCCTGTGAGATGGACTGGAAAATTAGGGCATTTGGGGGAAAGTTGGAAATTTGAGGGAACCTAACACTACCGGCCTTCAATTTCAGAATCTAGCATAGCAAATCCTGAGGAAACTTAGGGAAACTTAGGAAATTTGGGGAAAGTGATCACAATACCGTATGGGAGAATGAGGTTGTTTCCCTTGGCTGGCCAAATGACTCTTCGACAGTGTGGGAGAATGAGAGGTTTCTTTTTTTTTTCCTTTCCCTGGTTCTCATATAATGCGCGCATTTCAGAGCAAAAAAAAAAAAGAAAAGAAAGGGGGGAGGGAGCGAGCGGGAAAATTTAATTGTAATCTGTGCATTTATATATTTTTAAATATATATAAAACAAATCAGTCAAAATGTCAACAAATTTTAATATATATGTATATATATGTTATAACTCTTTATAAACGCTATTATAGACTAAAGCAGTAACGTTTTTTGAAAAACGTTATAACTAACCGCTACGAAAAGCCCTTTTTCTTGTAGTGACCTTTCCCGCTGCTAACGCAATGGATTCTTCACAATTTCCACATGAAGAATATCTGTGAGACACAAGTACACATGCTCATTTAACAGACCGATGGATTTTTCCAAACTAATACAAAATCTTTCTGCGGAACAACTTTAACAGATTGCTCACGCCATATCCATGATGAATCAAAATCATGCTTCGGGTAATTGCAATGCCTATGCAAATGCTGCAGGTCTGTTCACTTTTCTCAATACTTCAATCAATTCTGTGTTCACAAAGCCTTGGATTTTGGATAGCGGAGCTACAGATCATATAATCTCTGACCCCACACTTTTTACTCTAACAAAACCTTCATCAATACCCTCTGTCAATCTACCCACCGGGTCTTCCGCATCAATCACATCTACAGGAACAGTACCATTCATTTCAAACATTACTTTAGACAATGTTCTATATGTCCCCTCCTTTCATTTAAACTTGATGTCTATAAGCAAACTTACCTCTGCACTAAACTGTTGTGTGATCTTATTTCCAAATTTCTGTGTCTTGCAGGACTTGGCTACGGGGAAGATGATTGGCTCGAGTAAACAGCACTGTGGTCTTTATTACATGTCACCGTTGCAAAAGACACCAACCTCTCATCAAGTTTCTCAGTCGCCGAACCTATGGCACATGCGTCTTGGACACTCATCACCAGCTCGTCTAAAATTGGTTTCTTCATTGTTATCCTCTAATAATATCTCTTTTGATAATAATTGTTCTCTATGTCCCATGGCTAAACAAACAAGACTTCCATTCCCTTTAAGTTCAATATCAACTCATGCTCCATTTGATTTGTTACATTGTGATATTTGGGGTCCGCATAAAGTTTCCACCCATCAGGGGCACGTTTTTTTTCTCACCATTGTTGATGATTTTACAAGATGCACATGGACATTTCTTATGCAAAACAAATCTGAAACACAAGCTTATTGGTGCATGAAAATGCACCATAAATACTACTTTTGATTTATATAATATTAAAATATTTAAGCTTTAATTAAGCAATTTCATTATTTTTATTCATAATATTTTAATTGGAATTTGTCTAGCTTTTGCTTAATTATTTACAGATGAAAGCAGTGTAAAAGGCTACACAAGAAGAAGCCATGAAAGCCATATTTTCAGCCCATCTAAGCCATACAAGCCGAGCCAATCAGAGAGAGCCACGCCACCCATCAGCCAAGCCAAATGAAGTGGGTCCCGTGTGTCAGCGCAGAAATCCGCGCCTTTCCTCTCGCTCCGTCTCACGCCTCACGCGTCATCAGCACGCGGCTCATCAGAGCGCGCGTTCCTTCCACGCATCCGTCAGGGCGCGTCCAAGGCCTTCCTCACGTGGGTCCCGCACGACAGCGTGCCAACCTAAGTCTTTCTCCGCACGCGACAGCTGTCCTCCGCTCTGCGAATCGCCAGCACACGCCAACCACTCCAATTCTGACACGTGGCAAATCAATTCTGATCAACCAATTCCATAGCGACACATGTCCATTGAGTGCAGAGTCTGAATTTCTCCTTCAAAAATCAAAGCAAATTACTAGATTTCTTCCCCAAATCAAATATATGATTTCTCCTAATTTATGTGTAATTTTATTTTGTTTCTTTTTCTTTTGTAATTTTCTAGTTTTACAATTTATTTCCTTATTTGACAGGCAACCTCTGAACACTATAAATAGAGGGGTTGGCCTAAGGTTTTGGAAGCTTTGAATATTCAGTTTTCTGTCATCTTACTGTCAGTCTCATATTTTCTCTCTAGAACTTGTGAGAATGTTTTGCAAGATAGGCTAGAGTTTTCTTGGTGAGGTTAGAGATGAACTTCTGTTGAGTGACCCAATTCGGGGTTTTGATTCCTTGTTCTGTAAACTTCAACAGCTGAATGAATTAAATCTCATCTATTTTTCTATTACTTTTCAAAATATTGTGTGCCAATTTTTATATAAGTTCAGTCACGCTTTTCTTATGTAATTCTGTCATGCAATGTTTTGTTATTCAAATTATTTTACAAATTGTCTTTTACTGCAATATTGTCAGATTGATATATTGTCAATTTTAGATAACTTGTAATAATAATATTTCCGAAGTCAACATAGAGATTTAATTTATTCGGTTCTTTTATTTTGTGAATCAAAACTGGAATTGGTAAACGAAACATTAGGGATTCTCGACACCTTACCGTTTTTATTATTGAATTTTCTTCATACAAATTCCCTCATTTCTATTTTATTTGCAACAAAATCTCAAAAACTATTCTTTTTCTTTAATTCACTTTTCTCAAACGCTCTTATTCTGTTAGTTATTCTTGCTAATTTGTTATCTCTCTGTGGATACGACCGTCATTTTGTGCTACAATTGACCGCTTGTGAACATTACTTTTGAGCGTTAATCACAAGCCATTTTGAAATCCTTCACTGATTTTGCTTATACACAATTTCAAGCCTATGTTAAAGCTATTAGAGTTGACAATGGATCTGAATTTATGTCCATGAGAAATTTCTTTCGATTTCATGGGATTGAATACCAACGCACTTGTGTTTACACCCCACAACAAAATGGAGTCGTGGAACGAAAACATCGCCATATTCTTATTGTTGCACGTGCATTGCTTTTTCAATCTCACTTGTCACTCATTTTTTGGGGAGAATGTGTTCTAACTGCCGTGTACCTAATCAATCGATTACCATCACCATTATTGTCAAATAAATCTCCTTTTGAGCTATTATACAATCGCCCACCATCACTTGATCACTTGAAGGTTTTTGGTTGTCTATGTTATGCAACTGTTGTTCATCCAACTCAGAAATTAGATCCTCGTGCAAAACGTTGCATATTTGTTGGATACCCCGTTGGTCAGAAAGGCTACAAGCTTTATGACATGGAAACTGAAAAATTCTTTGTCAGCTGTGATGTCAAATTTTATGAAACAATTTTTCCCTTCTCCGATATTCAAGCTTCGTCCAATCAAGAGCATTTTTTCCCAATCTCTCCTTTGACATTACAGAGAATATACCTTCTAAACAATTTTCCACCACAAACGTTCCTTCTTCTGATTCACAAACTGAGCCACCTGAGTTTCATGAACCTGAACAAGCAACACATGCTCACAACAACCCTGAGTTGCTTCCTACAACAACATCAACCGAACCCACTTCGTCTTCATCTCAAACCGGACAAAATACTACAAATACAACAGCACCAGATCTTTAAACAACCTTTGGTCCTCAAATAAGACACTCCACTCGTCCTAAGCAGCCTCCGGTATGGCATAAAGACTACGTGTTGTCATCTCAAGTCAATCATTCTGCCTCAGGCTCAAGTCCTACACTAAGTACTCAGTATCCACTCTCAAATTTTCTCTCATATTCCCGCATTACTCCAAAACATCGTATCTTTCTAGCTAACATTACAGGACACACAGAGCCCAAGACTTATGCTCAAGCTATTCTTGATCCACATTGGCAAGAGGCCATGAATACAGAATTAAGGGCATTGCAGCAAAACAACACATGGACCCTAGTTCCTCCTCCTAATGGTCAAAAACCAATAGGATGCAAATGGGTTTACAAAATCAAGTATAAATTCGACAGGACCATTGAACGCTACAAAGTTTGTCTCGTTGCCAAAGGATATAATCAAGTTGAGGGCATTGATTATCAAGAAACCTTTTCTCCCACAACAAAACTGACTACGCTTCGCTGCATTCTCACTATTGCCGCAGCCAAGAACTGGTTTACACACCAATTAGATGTCCAGAATGCTTTCCTTCATGGGGACTTAGATGAAACAGTATATATGGAACCTCCACCAGGTCTACGACGACAGGGGGAGATGTTGTGTATCGTCTTAACAAGTCACTCTATGGGCTCAAGCATGCATCAAGAAACTGATTTTCTACTTTCTCAAACACCATCCAGAAGGCAGGTTATCAACAGTCAAAAGCTGATTATTCACTTTTGACAAAGGCACGAGGTACCTCATTTACTGCAGTTCTCATCTATGTTGATGACATCCTTTTAACAGGCAATGACCTTCAAGAAATTGATCAGCTCAAAGCGTTTCTTCTCAAGCGCTTTCGTATCAAAGATCTGGGAGACAAAATATTTTTTGGGAATTGAATTTTCACGTTCCAAGAGAGGTATCTTTATGTCTCAGAGAAAATATGCCCTGGATATTTTACAAGATTCCGGACTCATGGGTGCTCGCCTAGACAAATTCCCAATGGAACAAAATTTAAAACTTACTCCCACAGATGGAGCATTGCTAAATGATCCTACCAAATATAGAAGATTGATTGGAAGACTAATTTATCTCACTGTCACGAGACCGGATATAGTATATTCAGTTTGAGTACTGAGCCAATTCATGCAAGAACCTCGAAAGCCTCATTGGGATGCAGCAATACGAATTCTCAAGTATGTGAAAGGCACTCCTGGACAGGGTCTATTACTATCCTCCACCAACAATCTCACTTTAAAGGCCTTTTGCGATTCGGATTGGGGAGGTTGTCGTGCCACAGGATGATCGGTTACAGGATATTGCATCTTCCTTAGGAATTCACTTATTTCATGGAAATCTACGAAACAGACCAATGTTTATAGATCATCTGCAGAAGCCGAATACCGAGCTATGGCAAACACATGTTTAGAGCTCACTTGGTTGTGCTACATCTTGCAAGATTTAAGGGTTCCACAAATGGCTCCTATGCCGCTATTTTGTAACAATAAAGCTGCTTTACATATTGCAGCTAATCCTATCTTCCATGAGCGTACAAAACACATTGAAATAGATTGTCACATAGTGCGGGAAAAGTTACGAGCTGAAATGGTTAATCCTTCCTATATACCTACACGTTTCCAGCTGGCAGATGTTTTCACAAAGGCCTTGGGGAAGGATCAATTTGTGACTTTACGAAACAAATTAGGACTTCATGATATTCACTCTCCAACTTGAGGGGGAGTATTAAGAAATATCCTTGTAATAAATGTAATTAATTTAGTTGGTTGACTTACCTTAGTTAGCATAGATCAAATCCCACTATAGGTGGATCACGGATTATCAGCCTTAGGAAATGATTTGATTGATTCTTGTATATGTGTATATATTGTGTACGTTGTTCACAGAGAATATAATAGAGTTCATATTCCACCAAAACTCTTCTACTTTTCTCTCCAAACGTATCATTCTTTATATGCTTCCACGTTTAGTTTAATTTTAATGGGTGGAGTAATCAAGAATTTCCATTTTCTTTTCCTTTCTTTTGGCATGCCAATCAATAGCTTCTTAGTTCCATATATAACACACAAATACATTAATCCTTCCCCTATCAACCAAAGTAGAACAGTTGCTATAATATGTTAATAGTTTTTATACCAGTAATCCACATTGGAGAAGGGAAAATCACAAGATAAAAACATCAGGATATAAAAATCATCCCCAAAAGGGAAAAACTCTGATGAATATAAAAGTGGTTTTCTCAACAACTGCTTAGATATTTCTGGCTACATGTGATTCCCCTTACAGTTCCTCATATTTTAACGTTGACTCCACTCTCTCAGTGCCAAATCACCAAAAGTTCAGCCTGCATAAAAATAAAAATAAAAAGCACAATTAGATAAACATCAAAGTTTATACATACTAAAAACCAAAGGGTTCATAAGGAAAGAAGCGTTATTTCGAAAGAAAATGCTTACCGATCCGGAGGGCAAAATAGAAGCAAAAACTATAACACGGCAAAATGTTTAACTTGTCTGATCACCCTCTTCTTTTGAATGTATCATGTTTTATTACTTGAACAATTGGTAAATATTTCCAAGATGTTTAACCGGTCTCGAGATAGTAAATCTCAATGGCAACTTCAATAGCTGATGCTGCAACTCCTACAAATTGTCGTGCTTTAGCTAGAGATACAGTATTATGTTAGGATTGAGGGCTTAAGAAAACACAAAAAGGAGATTACTCAAACAAAGTCTCGACCCTCTGAATGTTGTTGTGCTAACTCGGAAGAAGACAACATAACTAGGCATTCCTCTTGCAGCCTTGCGCGTGGCTGATCTTGAAACATCTGCAAACATTAATCACATCCTCAGTTTCTTCTAAGATTATCTTTTTTTCTTTCGTTAGATGATTGAAAGCAAAAATTATAAATGAAGTACAATGTGAAACATAATGGGCAACCATTAATTCCAAAATTCTTGTAATGGTTACAACAGTAGTTTAGTTACAAACCTTAGCATTGGAAATAACTATGAACAAAATATCACAATCACAAGATGACATAGAATAAAATAACTACAAAACTAAAGTCACTGACGAAAGCTTATCTTGACACAACCAAAACATCTCACCTCACGGTTAATATGAACATTGACAAACGTAAGATCAGATTAATCTGAAAGTAATTTGTTATTGACTAAATTGTACAAAAAGAAACGATAGAAGTAAAAAAGAAAAATACCTGAAGAGAAGAGTGGAGCAATTGTAGAAAGCTCTCATCATACGTACGTCTTGTTGATTTCTATGCTGGGGATGTGTTGAATTTTTGGCCAATCTTCCCCAGTTCCTCTCTGGCGGTATGAGTGAAGGTAGTTGGCGTAATGGCGGCAAAAAGGCAACAATTTGGACAGTTTAGTAGATGCACTTCTACCATGTCGCCAAATGAGTGTTGTGTTACCCAATCTGCAAATGTTTGACCTCTATAACCGTCAATTCTGAGTTTCTTCAGCTTTGTATGCGGTTTGAGGGCATCAAGTACTTCCTTTTCTTTTCTTGATATCATTAATTTTGCCACATTTCCATCTCAAAATCAGCTCAACAAGATGCTCTTGACTCTTCAAATTAGCTTCTAAAGCATCTCCAACATCTACCACATTTTCAAGTCCGGAAATGCACAAAGTTAATCCATGCAAAAGCGGTAAATCTGCCAACTCTTTCATCCTGGAACCACCATTTTCACCCAAAACAAAATCACTTTAACGTTTGTAAATTTATCATGTTGCACACATTTGGCGGCATCTCCTCTAAACGTGTTCCTTTGATCTGCGCAAGCTAACTAAGCTACACATGTTTGATGGTGGACTTTTAAGATTGTAACAATGGGACAACAATAGTGTCTGCAAGTCGTAGAATGTGCAAACTGAATTGGGTATTTTTTTTTTTCCCCACACCTGTCCCGGATAAGTCCAAATACCTTAGATGCTTTATATCAGCAATTGAATTAGGCAACTCCTTGATATTTGAATGAGATAAATCAAGAACTATCAAGCATACTCCATCTTTGACTAACCGCTCAAGCAGGATAAGGCTATTCATACGGAGTCAGATTTGAACTCATATAACAATGGTATAGCTAGCATGGTGCACAAGCACTTGGCTGTGGATAAACCCTCTAAATCTTATGGTTTGTTGAACTTGCAATGAGGGGCCACTTTTTCAACATCGTAGACGAGACGTAAATGTAGGGACCACTTATCTTGCTTATTTCCTCGTCATGATAAGTATTAAAAAATATGTAATATAACAATACAATATATGTTTAATTTTCAGTACATAAGCCTATTTATGAGGGTGGTCTATTTTTTAATTAAAAAAAATAACCGTCAATTGAACGCTTTTTGTATAATTTTTAATCAGACATAAGAATACATCTTATATTTTTATACTAAGAATGCAAAGGTGATATTTCAAAATAATGCATGGGATAATTAGAAGTTTTTTTTTTTTTTATCAAATTTTGTTTCACTTCAAAGTTTGTTCATTTTAGATTTAAGTTATCTTGCCTTTTTTTCTTTAAAAAGAAAAGTGTAATCACCTTTTATTTATTTTGGCATATCTTTATAAATAAAATAATTAGGTATGGGTTCAAAATATAAAATTACAATTCTTTAGAATTTATTTTTTAATGAAAGTAAGAAAATATTTTTAGCATAAATTTTAATAGATTAAAATCAATGCGTAAACATTTTGGAATAACTATAACATTCTCATAGAATTCTCACATGCTTCGCATATTCGCATGTGGTTTCAACATACACAGCTTATCGTAAACGCATGTGCCACCTCTTCTTCTTTTCTTTTTTTTTTCTTTTTTTTTAAAGACATCCAAGTTATAAATGAATAAATATTATATTGCTTTATAGCGCGCCATTTTACTCCGATATATATGTAATCAATATTCTTGGTAATTAACGTAAACGAACTAGATGAAACACCCTAATTAATAGAAATAACGCACACTTCATATTTGATCTAATTAAATCTCGCAGCAGTTACCAAAGCGCCTTGGACATAAGCTACGTGTATGTACGTATCCAACCCAAAAAGGCAAAGGTTTACACTAACCAAAACCAAAACCACAACCAAACGGAAGAACAAATTCCATCCTAATCTAAGCATTCCATTTGTTATTTCAGTTCTTCTCTACATTTCTTCCTCGCCACTACTAAAGCACCACCAAAACTCCATAACACACACACACACACGTAAAAAGATACCAAAAAATAAAAAAGTTACGCAGTCATATTCATGGATACTATTGCTAACGCAGAAATTAACAAAGAATATCGAGCTGCGATCGAAGAGATAATACAACAGCCGCTTTTGGCCGGCAAAAATAATGTGGAAGCTGTATCAGCCGCGGCGGAGAAGCCCGCGAAAACACCGGCGCAAAAGGCGATGAGAAAGACTTTCAAAGGGACGGCTCATCTGGCGAACCTCCTCCCGACGGGGTCGGTCCTGGCGTTCCAGATTCTGTCGCCGGCGTTCACCCACCAGGGTCAATGCCGCAGCCGCGTCAGCCAGGCGACCACGTTCGGCCTCCTCGCCTGCTGCGCCGCCTCCTGCTTCCTCCTCTGCTTCACCGACAGCTTCCGCGACGCCCGGGGGAAGGTCCGCTACGGCGTCGCCACTTTCCGGGGGCTGTGGATCGTCGACGGCTCGGCCGGCGCGGTGATCGCGGCCGAGGAGGCGGAGAATTACCGGCTTATGGTTATCGATTTTTTTCACGCGCTGGCGTCGCTGCTGGTGTTCGCGGCGGTGGTGGCGTTCGATGAGAATGTGGTGAGGTGCTTCTGCCCGGCGCCGTCGGAGGAGGTGAAGGAGCTGCTGGTGGCGGTGCCGGTGGGCGTTGGGGTTTTGTGTAGCTTGTTCTTTGTTGCCTTCCCCACTAGGCGTCATGGCATTGGCTTCCCTCTCTCTCGGAACTAGCTAGGAATTACGATTAATTTTTTAATTGTTCGTTGTGTGTTGACCTACACTCATAAGTTAGTCTTAACATAAAGTAAATATAAAGGTTTAATTCAAACATGAAGAAAATAGAGAGTATAAATGAGTTGTCTGTATAGAGTTAGATATTAGAAGAAGTAAGTTAGAGCACGAGTTAAGTTGAGGTGTGCGAGCCATTATAGGTCCAACTCACACCCCGTCTCAAAATTTTAAGCCAGACATTGAATGGGCCGAAAAAAAAATTTAACATTAAAAATTATATTTTTCAAGTTGGATTGAGATGAGGTGAGTTGAGTTTGTGAGTTTTACGGGTTTATGAACAGCCCTATTTACCAGGCTGTTAGACGGGTCATTCAAAACACTGACCAGAGACCTTGCCTCTATATATATATATATATATATATATATTATATGTATTTGCAATAATTTACATCACTTCGTTAATTTGTAGGTAGCAATACTCTTTCATTTAAAAAAAAAAATAAAAATTTGTTTTTAGTGAGACGCTGATTGGGTTCTCTTTGGGCAATTCATGAACTTCGAAAATTATCTCTGTTTACACACTCCAATTTTTCGATTGGATAGAAATCTGTCAAATTGGCAACAGTCTAATGAAATTTGTTTAAAATAAATTGATGGATTTGTGAGGAAAAGATGCGGAGTAATAAGATAATTCTTTCAAGAATTTTTAGAGGTGTGAGAAATGTTACAAAATTATAGAAATGTTATTAATTGAATTTTGAAAACTCAAAGAGATTGAGCAACTTATTCATTAACAAATACATGCGCGATTGCATGCATAGTCTGAAGGTAACTTAAGACCTAACTATACACGTGGATCCCAACGACTAAAATGGCTCCATCCTAGTTAGATATGGCTTTCTTATCGATGAAGGATTGATAATCTCGACTATTTGTCAAGCAAGTCTCGACATCTAGCCGAGAGTCTCAAACTCCAGTTTATCATTAGTATCAGTTTGTAGTTGAGTTCAAGGTTGAGACTTGACCAGAATTTATGCTACTGCCTACTATGGCCGGCATAGGTGGTCGTGACCAAGGCTGCTCCCAGGGTCACACTCCATCAAATGTTACGCCGAAATCTAAATTTTTTTCGCATTTTTCTTTATATCAAAGACAAAAATTTACATTTATCTATATATCAAGAGCAGAAGAAGAAGAATAAGAATGCAAAATTATAAAAGGTCTACCATGAATTAAAAGAGGAAATCACTAAGGAAACTCTATCGGTTTAAAATTAGAGGTTCAGGCAAGAATGAAACTCAAATTTTTAAAGTTAGTACAAAAAATTAGGAATGTTTTTCTAGCTTTCTTCGGGTTTTTTTGTTTTTGTTTTAATTGATTGATTGATCACGGTTATTTTACTTACGTGAATGGTAATTTTGAGTTAGGCCGGGCTGACTCTAAAAAGAGGAGGGTCGACCAACCCGACCCTAAATTTAAGGCATTTGTAAAAAAAAAATTAAAAAGAATATTCTATGTCTGACCTGACCCGAATAACATTAAGAACTCAAAACCACCTGGTCCGGCCCGAACACTTAAACACTAAATAAACTGTGTCGAGTTTCAGGCCAAGCCAAACCTCATAGCAATAAACCTTATTAAAGAGAATACTTTGAGACATAAAAGCCTATGGTAATATTGTCCTTAGTTGCCGAATCTAATAAAATTTTCAATCCGACGATTCAACTGTAATTTGAAGATAAAACAAGGCGTATATGTAGACCACCACACAAGATCGTAGTTGTTGGTTTGTTGTTGTTGTTTTTATTATTATTATTATTATTATTATTATTATTATTATTATTATTATTATTATTATTATTATTATTATTATTATTAGTACTTTTTTATTACTTTTTTACAGAAAAGATACATCTTAATTGTGTTTATTTCATCTCATTTCTATAATTTAATGAGAGTAAGGTTAGGGACACCAACTCAAATTTTAATTTTTATGTATCAACTGATGTGACATGTGAGTTGTTATCTTTTATTAGTAGATGCAATCTTTTCATTAATTGACATGACAATGTTTTAAACAACTACCACTATAAAAGTGACAATTCACATGACACATTAATTGGCACACAAAATATTAAAATTTAAATTAGTGTCCCTAGCATTATTTATTTAATAATATTGTAAATTCAATACAAACATTCGCAACTATTCATTATTTCATAAGGTATATTTTGATAAGACGCATCCTGATATTATTATGCAACATTTTTAATAAAAAAAACCATAGAGAAGAACTAGAACATATTGAACTGAGTTATTAATGGTTGATATTTTAAGGATTTCAATATTTTTAATTTTTTTGCGCTTTTTATTATTCAAAATTTTATTTTAATTTGTGACTCTTGAAATAAAATCATAACTCTATCACAAATTGAAACTGTAGCATGAATATGTTTTAATTTTGAATGAATATTTTGCTATAATGTGGGAGTGAAGGAAATCATTGTGTTATTAAAAGTTTCATTAGTTAAAGTTGTTACTAGTAAAAAGATTATTGGAATTGTATTAACCACTTAAAAATATTATAAATAAGTTATATTCATATTGTTTTTGCCCAGTAAAATGTGAATCCGTACATATTCTTATTTCCATCTTTAGAATTTGTTTGCTATACCAAATTAGAGAAGCAACATCCAATTCTGCAAACTTTCTTGCCTTTGACAAATTACTGATTAATGATTAGGCAAGTACACTGTAAAAAGACAACAACTATGTACGGAACTAGTGGTCCAAAAAACTTTACCAAATAGTTCGGAAGTATAGATTGAATAACAAAGTTGACTTCGAACATCGAAAGGAACTAGTATAGCTCCTAAATTGTCGTATTGTTTTTTTTTTCTTTTTTTTTTTTTTTTGTTTTGAACTATTCTTCACTTACTTGAATAAATCAAAATATAATACATGCAACAAAGAAAGGAAGTTATTGAGCTAGCTCGTAGTGCCAATGTTGGTCATTCTTCAAATCAATCTTGACAATTTCGATGTGGTTAGATTGTTTATCTTTTTTTTTTAGACTCATTTATAAAAGCAGACATTTTGCACGGTGAATAAATTTTTTTTATTGTTTGAAAAGAAGAAAGTCCATATTTTTTCCATTCTTTTCTTACTGTTTTTATTTTTTTAAAACAGGGAATTTTATTTAATAATTAAGTAATACATACTTTAAAATAGTCACAAATGACCACCAAATACAAGATATTCGACCATGAATAAAAATTAGATCTATTAATAAAGACAAATAAGGCACAAAAGTGAATACGAGTAT